TTCTTGTGCTTGCAAAAGATGCAAAAACGCACAAAAATGCATTGTAAAAACGTACCGGACCGCTTGTGCTTTATTAAAATTTAAATAAAAGATCACCATACATGACAGTAACAAGACAGGAGACAAATGCGATTAAATGAACAGTGCGAAAAACACTGTTTTAGAAAAAGAATAACTTACTCTTGTATTCAATGAAATAAAATAAAAATATTCAGCACAACTGATTGTTTCAGTTTCAGTGTCTGAGCAAAGATAAAACTGTAGCTGTGAACAGGTCCTATCAGTCATCTCGAGGCTGAAAATACAAGCGAGCTCAAGGCAAAATGCAAACAAACTTATTTTAACAAATCGTTCAAATCCGCCACACTGCTGAAATACTAGTCTGTTATGCGTAAAAAATATTTTCGTTCCGATCAAAACGGCAACAAAACTTACTGGCTCACAAGAGCAAACGAAATTCCGAAAATAAAACTGGCATGCACCGTTGCGTTAGAAACACAAAGCCGCATATTCAATACGATCACAGAACACAAGAGGGAAAGTTCAGCAGCTCAAAATACCTCGGCTTGAAAGGAGTATCCTTTTCATTCTGCTTCATCAAACAAATCATGCTTCCACACCTCATCCACCGAGCTCCTCTCACGGCGAGTTTTGCCCGATGAACCGTAGCCATTACCATCGCAAGTATCGTCATCTTCCCTTCGTACCTACAAAAATAAAACGCTTTACCGCCAACTTATGGCATCGCTCAATTTCACACAAATTTCAGCCAGAAAAACTAAAATTATTGGCCCTGACGGTCTCCAAAACTCACCGATACTAGCGCTTTATGCGTACACAGTTAAGGCTTAGTATAAAATTTAGATAAAATTTCGTAATACGAAACACCTGCACATCCAGCCCTTCCAGAAATGCGTTTTAGCATAAACCCATCCTGTAGGCAGATCGCCTGTACTGCGGTATAACTGTGCTGCTGCAATTTGAGCATTCGAATGATAAGCAGGGAACAGCCCAAGCAGAAGCTCATTTTATGTTTGCTGGTCCAGAAATGAATAGCAAACACAAGCAGAACAATAATGTCCCCTAATCAGCCGGGCTACCAAGTTAATAGGAAGCTAACAGTGTTCCAAAATAATAACCACTTCCGCTAACTCGAAACCCAGACGTGCCACATAAAGTTCAGTTCAAAATATTTAGATCACATATTTGCAAAGAATATCTCCGCAAAGTTTTGACTCACTAGCATCACTAGTTGGTGAAAGCGCTTTTCGCTACCAATATCTTTAACGCACCAGAATGCGCCAAATGGACGTACTTCAAAGATTATTTCACATCTACATTCCCACGTAACAGCAAATATTCTCGTGCAATTATGGCAGTAAATTCAGTCTGTTGCCCAGCTGGCATTTTTCAGCAGTGTCTGAACTTCAAGGTGTTCGTAAGCGTGATGCAGACGTAACCGACCACTAAATTTAAAATCTTTTGCTTACACAAAGGCAAAGAATAGCCATGTGAAGTTTCAGCTTTCTATTCTGCCCGGTTCCCTGGAATCGTTTTCCAGTTAGGAAATTTGTATGTGTTTTAGGCATCCATGCGTGAGTGTACATGAATGCTGATTTTATTTTGCCGAAATCGCACGTGGGCTAGAAATAGCTTCACGAAATCCCAGTTTCCTAGCTGAATGTGGATAACAAAAATCCAAACGCACAAACATACACAGATAAACGCACAAACACACAGATAAACTCACGACAATATGCGTTTTTGCATTTGCATAAAGATGCAGAAATAAATAAAAATCGGACTTCGACATTCAAGGCACTCCCGAAGAGTTGTGAAGATGCCATACCGGTCACAATCTTTAGCGCTGCCTTCAATGTAACAACAAATTCTCAAGAAACAGTGCTGCCGCACCTTAGATTAATTGAATAAAAAATAAAAGTACCAAAATGTCACATGCCTTACGCACATTACGCCAGCCCACCGGTAATGACTGCCAATCATTGGTCACCAAGTCGGAGGTATTTCGCCGTTTCAAATTACGAACCATTCTCGTTCCACGATCGTCATGCTGCAAAATTGGTATTTCAAAAAATGAAAAATATCGTAATTACGGTAATTTTTAACAATTCCGTTACTGCTCGAATGACTACCAAACAACCAAAATGGAAATTCTCTCAAAATAAAGTTCAAATAAAATCACGACTGTCGGCATACAGACACTGACTGCTATATGCACTACACAAACATGCATGCATGTGTACAAACAAACAAACGTAACAGCGGAAATGAACACACATAATATCAGAGCGGACAATCTTGGGCACCTCTCAGATGGATGAAGAATAAAAGACAGAACAAAATACCGAGTATTACTTGGAAGAAAGCATACTACATAAGCTGCCAACCAGACGGAGTGTAGGCCTCGACCGCGTCACTGGGATACGACCGGAGGAGAATGGAAAAACAGTGGTGAAAGAGGTGCAACGATAAGATCGAAGTGCGAACTTTGATGTAAGTAACAGGACGACGACGACGCTCCAGGACGCCCAGAGAAGAAAAAGTATTTCTTGCTAAGAAATATATAGTGCTAAAGCTTCGATACATAGCAAGAGATTTTAAATTAAACTGCTGTTACAGTTCAAAGCGCAGAGTAACTGCGGAAAGGCTGAAATTGATCAGCACTGGTCATCGTCATGGAAATATGTGCAAAAGAATTGAGAGAACGTGCGAACCAGAAGAAACACAACTGTGCAAAACTGGCAATAAATATTACCGTGTAATAAGAACGTCCAGTGGGAACTTTGCACGGATCAAAAAGGTTCATCACTGGCTTGCTTTCATCC